TGGGAGTACAGGCGTGCATTACCACGCTTGACTAATTTCTGTATTTTTAGTAGAGACAGGGTTTCACCATATTGGCCAGACTGGTCTTGAACTTCTGGCCTTGTGATCCGTCTGCCTCGGCCTCCCAAAGTGCTGGGATTACAGGTGTGAGCCACCGCGCCCAGCCCAAAAGCAATTTTTTTGAATTCTGTTGTTTTTAGGAGGAGTTCCTCTTTGAGTATAAACTGTCTTGTTTAGCAATTATATGAAAATTCTTACACATTACTTTTGAGGAAAAACAAGGTGGCTCTCTGTTTTTAATGCAGATGATAAAGTAACAACAGTAATTTTACAGGACTAGTGCAACAGAGATTTTTCCATCCTTCAAATTGCCAAGCACTATTATCACTCAGTGAGTGTTGGCGAATTTATCTGAATTCAGTAAGATACTCTCCTTACTCTTAGAAAGCATACAGGCACATGGAGGAGATAATATTTATGAATAAGCTACAAAATAGGCAGGATTGGTTCTAATACAAGACAGCAAATTAAGTAGTGTTATAAAGGTATAAACAATCTGGAATAGAAACATGAGGCGGGTGTGATTAATTCTGAGAGTAGTATATGTTCTGTTGATGAGTATTTGTTGAATTTCTCGAATCTTATTAGGGTTGCTATGAAGGCTGGAGAACCAAGGAAGTTTCTTAGTGGGAAGGAAAAACAACTGGGTTTGTATATGGAAGCAAAAGCCTTCAGTTTCATCACCTGCTATTTTATCTGTTGCAAAGTACTCGCAAATCAGTCTAATATTTCAAAATCTGGGCTCATCAAAGTATCCGGGTATGTGTGAGTTTTCATACTGCCATGCCTCCATCCAAGGAATCAGCATGGCTTGTTCCAGGCATTTTTTTCAAAGTAAATTTTATTAGCACTTTAAAATTACCATGACAAAGAATTTTTCTACACTCAAATTTTGTTTTTATTGTTTATAATTTTAGTAATTATTTAAAAACTAAGAACAATATAGTTTCCAATTTTAAAAAACAGCTGCTTGAAATTATTTCTCTTTCATGGTGACAAAGCAGTTTCATCCAAATTTAGTGTTTTAAAAGCATCTATTATAAAGTTATATTAACAAATAACTTGGAAATCTTTTCAAATGTTCTGTTGCTTTAGAAACGGCAGAGGGCATCATTTGAATCATACAGTTTTTTTTTTTCCAGGTCTGTGTTTTTAAAATTAGGATGAAATGCCAATATCTCATAGGTAATTATTTCACTCTAATTAAATATAAGCTTATATACAAATCTGATTTTCCTGATAACTAGATACATTTCTCAGATAGGCAACATTTAAATTCATAAAGCTACACAATTGACACAGAAGACAAACCTGTTCCTAATACTGCAGGAACTTTTAAAATAAATACATAGTAAATACAACTATAGATCATTTTTTTAAACATTTGAGATGAGCAACTGTAGCTACCACTGGGCTAATGGATCAGATCTCTTTAAGGTTTCTTTCAGCTCTGATTTTTACCGATTCTCGGACTCATTCAGTCAGTCAACAAATATTTATTGAGCACCTACCATGTGCAGCCAGGCGTGTGGGACATAGCAGTGTTCACTCACAGATCTCTGCCCTCAGGGAACCAATATTCTAGGAAGGAGAGAGAGATAATACACAACAGCCATAACACAGAAGAAGGATGGAAAGAGAAAGTGTGGGGCAGGGTGAAGGGAATTGGAGCACGGGGGCAGTGGAGTCATCTGCACATCAGGGTGGGCCTCACTGAAAAGGTGACAGGTCAGCAGAGACTGGAAGGAGACATGGAGCTAGGCCCAGGGACTTCTGGAGGAAGAGTAGAAGCAGAGGGAAGAGCAAGGCAACAGCGTACACCTGGAAATTCTGAAGAGCAGGCAGGCCAGTGTGGCTGGGGGAGCGAGATGAGAGCAGCTGCAGGGAACCACAGCGAGGCCTCCTGAGCCACTCCTTGGAGTTTATCGGTGGCTCTCAGGAGGTGGCGAGCTTTTGCAGGGATCGGAGCAGAGCATTTTCATGATCTGACTTCTGTTCTTAAAGGATCGCCCTGCCTGCAGTGTGGAGGATAGGTATTACACAGACAAGGTTGCAAGTAGGGAAACCAGTTAGGAGGCTATTGCAATATTCAGATGAGAGTCGCCCTCACCTGGAGGGATCCAGTACAGCTGTGAGAAGTGGAAGGATTCTGAATTGTGAAGGCGGATGAGGCGTGGGGGTGAGAAAAAGAGGAAGATGAAGTTAGTTGCCTTCAATCAAGATGAAGATGCAGGTGTATTGAGATGTCTGTCCACATTCAAGTGGAGTTGCTGAGTAGCCAGTTCGATGTAAGAGTCTGGATTTGGGGAAAGAGATTTGGGCCCGAAATACAAGTTTGGGAATTGTCAGCAAAGGGACAGTATTTAACTCCCTAAGTCTGGATGAGAACACCAAAGGTTTGAGTTTAAACAGAAGGGCCAGGAGTGGTGGCTCACGCCTGTAATCTCAGCACTTTGGAAGGCTAAGGTGGGTGGATTGCTTGAGGTCAGGAGTTCAAGACCAGCCTGGCCATCGTGGCAAAACCGCATCTCTACTAAAAATACAAAAATTATCCAGGTGTGGTGGCGCATGCCTGTAATCTCGGCTACTTGGGAGGCTGAGGCAGGAGAATCACTTGAACCTGGGAGGCAGAGGTTGCAGTGAGCCGAGATCGCACCATTGCACTCCAGCCTGTGTGACAGCCAGATTCCGTCTCAAAAGTAATAATAATAATAATAAATAGTAAATAAAAATAGAGAAGAAAGGGGGCTCCAGGACCGAGCCCTGGGACACTTCAACATTTAAAGATGGGACAGAAGGGACAGAATCAGCAAAGAAAACTGAGAGACCAGCCAGTGAAGTAGTAATAAGACCAAGAAGTGTGGTGCTTTGGAAGCCAAGAAAAAACAGTGCATTGATGAGAGGGTGTGATGAACTAAATCAAATGCTACCCACGTAACACAAAGGCTGAGAGCTAATAATTCATTTTTACAATATGAAGGCCTTTTTTGATCTTGACAAGAAAAGTTTTGTTGGCGGCTGGGGTGAAATGATCAGAATGGATTTAAGAGAGAATGGAAGGAGACAAACTGAGACAGCCAGTGTGGATGACTCTTCTGAGGGTTTTTGCCAGAAAGGGGATAGAGACATAGGGTAGTAGCTGGTGGGGGTGGAGAAGTATCTTTCAGATGGAAGATATTTCAGTGTGTTCATATGTTGATGGGAATGATATAGTAGATGCAAAAGATTGCAGGAGAGGAGAAGATTTGCTGGAATGATGTCTCTGGGAAGGCAGGTCTGAGAGTGCATAAGTGGGTGGATCAGCTTATTTGGAAACATAGATAATTAATCTGTGGTAAGAGGTAGAAAGGCCAAGTATGTGGGTGCAGGTCCTGTGGAAACTCTTATTTCTGATGTCTTCCTTTTTCTCGTTAAAATACAAAATAAATCCATCAGTTGCAGGTATGGACAGGGGAAAAGGAGTTGGAGGTTTTAGTGGGGAGGAGCAGTCACCTAGGAGGGGGACATGAAAGAGGGGACTGGAGGGTAGGTTGTGACTGCTGGGGACATCACAGGTCCCCTTGAGGTTCTCAGTAGTGAAAGTAAAATGTGATCAGGCAGCATGGTTGTGTTGAAATCCAAGTTGTAAAAAACTCTACAGAGAATCACTCCCAGTCACAAAACTGATTGACTTGGCTGTGATATCCCTTCATTTTGAAATATCTTTTCATTGGTGTATAACATATAGAGAAAAATATGCAAATTATTTTAAAAAATTTTTTTACTGTCTCTCCTTTGAATGGTGATAAAAGGGAAATTGCCAGGTGAACCAGAGAGAGAGAGAGAGAGAGAGGGAACGAGAGAGAACAAGCAAGCTTTGATAATCAGCCCTGAAAAACCAAGAGCGCCTTCCAGTTCTGTCTTTACGACTTCCAGGTCCAGTCACTGGTCTGCAGTAACCAGCAAAACACTGTCGTGGGCATGAAGGGGTGAACAAAAGGTCAAGTTCCTTCCTTTGTGGAAGGGAAAATGATTTTCCAATGCTTCCCATGTGACTGGAGTGCCAGAACCTCTCTAGATCCGAGTATTCAGTTGTGAGGGAATGCACTGATTTGGATTCATCTGAAGGCATCTGGTTGGTGCGAGAGTTGACCCGTGTTTACAGGAAGGTAGAGGCCATGTTTTCTCTGTCTCAGGTCTCAGGAGCTACCCTGGAGTATGGGCTCTGCCCCTGCTGAGCTGTGCCTGGGGCTCTGGAGGCTGAGTGTAAGTGTAGCACCATCACTCAGCTCCGTTCTTGTTTTTCAGGGTTGGGGCGCTGAGTATCATCGTCAGGATGTCACCAGCACCCCCTGCTGGATTGAGATTCATCTTCATGGGCCGCTGCAGTGGCTGGACAAAGTTCTGACTCAGATGGGCTCTCCACATAACCCCATTTCTTCAGTGTCTTAACAGTCATGTCTTAAGCTGCATTTCCATAGGATAGAGGCTATTGCAGGGAGTGGCTTGTATCATTTCAGGTTTGCAACTAACTGAAGTTTCTAAAAACATGTGTAAATACACAGAATGTATACTGTTCCTATTTTTTTTAATCACCGTTTGTTTTGTGCTTTCTAGTTAACCTGATGCCAGCACAGTGCAATTGGAAAAGCAGGCCTTTGGTGCCTGTGCTATAAGCAGCAGATTTCGTGGGAGGAAACAATTGAGAGGCAGTATTGTCAACAGTATTTGCAGGGTGTTAGCAGAATAAAAGGCAGCTTTAGTCAGCCGTGTCATTATAAAGCATGTTGTGTGGCCTCACAGAAACACTGAAACTGTTTATACAGCAAAAGTCAGGTATTAGCAGCACTAGAGCAAATATCACTCAGATGAAACAAAGCAGTGAAACCCCTCCAGTTGAAATGATGTCACTTTTAGTGCTATTGGCAAGAAAAAAAAACAAAAAAAGCTTGTACAATGAATTAATGAGATAATCTGTAGAAACTTTATTTCTAAGGTTGACATACCTGTAGCTGGGCTCCTGTGTTCATATTCAGTGGTACATTTTAAACAAACTGTGATCGGAAAAGAAAAAAAAAAACTGTGAAGCCGAAAGTCATGTTCCCTCAGTCTACCGCTGTAAAAACAGAGTCTAATATGGGAAAATAAATACGAAGATAGCATGAAATGCTGTTTCCCAAATTACAAGATAAGACCAGAACTTGCTCCAAGAGCCACCCAGGGAGACTCCTGCTTTCCACAGAGGAGACCAGGCTCCTGTTGTCCTGGTTGTTCATGTCATGCCGTCCTGCAAACTTCGAGTCTGCGCAGCGTGCCAGAATAGCACTTGTTTCAGTCTGGTGTCAAGAAGCAGGTGAAAGCAAAGGTTGGAGAAAAGTGTCACACGTCGACTTACACTTTCTCATTTCCCACGTTCCAGTCTCCTGGGAAGGACACTCTTTTGCCACGTTTTCTTGCCTCTTGGCAAATATTAACTCTTTGCAGATTACTGAATCAACAGTAAAGACTTTGAGAAGATCTAGACACATTATTGGATCAATGAGTTATTTAACCTAGTGTCTCCAGTGATTATCTGAAGTCTCATAGCTGGAAATAAATTCCCAAGTAAAGTGATAATAATTTCATAATCGTCTATAATTTCTGGGGAACAGTGGTAATGAATAATAATACATCTTTTAAAAATATACACAATATTAAAAACATGTTCTTATTTTACTTTAGATGAGGGAGGAAAATCCCCAGATTTCCAGGTACTTTCATACACATACTTGCCATGCACTAAACACTACATTGCTTGGAAAAATATTTCACACCCTCTTTAAAAATATACAATTTAAGATAGCAGTTATGCTTGTAACAGACAGCACTTCAGTAATCCAAGAAGTTTCTTCATGTATACATTTTAGCTCAACTCTTTCTAGCATTAGTGCACATGGTAGTTTTTCTAATTAAATTGTATTCAAGGTAGAAATGATCATGTGAGAAAGTTATATGATTGAGCTACTACTGTCACCTCTTATAATGACTAGTGTTATCTAATAGAAACTTTCATACATACACAATAGAAAAGAATTATTACACTTTACATTGAAAAACGTAATATGTGGCTCATGTAGTGTTTAGAAAAATCTGTAGTTGATTGGTTCATCAACTATGTATTGTGTACCTACCTATAGGTGTCAGGTACAATGTTAGGAACTGTAGAATCAAATGTAAATAGAAGACAGTCCCAGCCCTCATGGAGCCAAGAATCTAATAGTGAATCTGTTTGTACAGACATCATCATGTTTCAGAACTTTTAAAACAAAACAATGCAATCTGTCTTTAGCTTGAAAGAATGTAATTGATTTCTTATCTCTGTTTTGAAATTTTTATTTCCTTGCTCTTCTGCAGAGTCAGGTAATGGTTCCTTGTGTAAATGCTACTTTTCTTCCATGTCTCAAAGTGGGTTTTGTTCCTCTCCTTGCTTCCCTATTTTCCAATAATTCTCTGTCTCCCCTTCTCTTGGAAAAGGCATTAATATGGTGAGTCTCATATGGGAACCATTCCATGGGAGAACTTCAACACAGCTTTTGCTCCAGAGATCAAACATAGCTTTCATGATCTCTCTACCAGCTATCGAACTTATCCTCTGGTAATCTTTTTTTTTTTTGAGACAGAGTCTTGCTCTGTCGCCAGGCCGGAGTGCAGCGGTGCGATCTCGGCTCGCTGCAACCTCTGCCTCCCGGGTTCGAGCGATTCTCCTGCCTCAGCCTCCCAAGTAGCTGGGACTACAGGCGTGGGCTTCCACGCCTAGTTAATTTTTGTATTTTTAGTGGAGATGGGGTTTCACCATGTTAGCCAGAATGGTCTTTATCTCTTGACCTCATGATCCACCTGCCTCAGCCTCCCAAAGTGCTGGGATTACAGGCGTGAGCCACCGCGCCCGGCCTCCTCTGGTAATCTTATACCTTTACAGAATTAATCTAAACTGGTGGCTCATAAATGACATTAAAAACAAAAAACAATCTGGATGCAGTGGCTCATTCCTGTAGTCCCAGCACTGTGGGAGGCCAAGGTGGGAGGATCACCTGAGCCCAGGAGTTTGAGGCTGTAGTGAACTATGATCACATGACTGCATTCTAGCCTGGGTGACAAAGTGACACCCTGCCTCTAAACAAAAATCAAGCAACAAAAAACTTGTTATTTCCCTGCAGCTTTGGGAAGCCAGAACACAATTTTGCAGTGAACCTGAATTTTCTGTGACAAATAAATTACTAAATTGGCACATATGATCATCACCAGTCATGTCTCATCAAAAGCCTCTATTAAGATGCTTGTAAAATTTGAAGAATTTAGAAGTGATGAGAAGTTAACCCCTTAGTCATGTAACATAATCATATTTCAATCAGCTTTTTCTTTTGCTACCAAGAGTTTCAAAAAATGAATGCAGTATTTGATTTCAGGCTTCTAAATGTGCTCATTTAGCACTCATTCCTTGATGTAGACAATAAAAGAAAAAACCGAATAGCATTCTTTCCAGGATAACTATTGAAGCAGACAGCTAAGCCTCTAAACATGAGCACTGTGGCACATATTTAAGGTTGCCACGGACAAGGATCACACAACAGAGAACACTGTAGTAACATTTTGGTCTGCTCAACAACACCCAGAACATTTACCAGTTTTTGTTGTTGGTTTATTATTTTTCTGTTAAAAAATTGTGAAAAGTTTGTTTTAGCTGGATGATATTTTAATAGTTGCCACTGTTTTGGAACTATAAAGATGTCACTACTTAACACATATACCTTATGTTTTGTTTTGTTTTGTTTTACACTCAGTATAAATCAGGAAAAGTTAGCCAACCATCCTCTTTTTTATTGTCTTCTGAGGATATGGATGTTCCCATAACAGCAACAAAACAGCAACAAAAACATTTCATAAATATCACTTGATAGACTCTAAGCACCTGCTTAACTTTGAATGTGTCCCAAATATTTAGTGTGTGTGTATATATATATATATATTCAACAAATAAAACAAACTATAACATGCATTTCACATTTTGTCTTTCCCTGTTAGGATTTTAATAGCAGAACTGTATGACAAGTTTAGGTGATCCTAGCATATGTTAAATTCAAATTAATGTAAAACAGGTCAACAACAACAAAGAAACTTTCTATTTGAGTGAAGTCATGCTTTCTATTATAACTTGGCTTCGGTTATCCATCAAATGCACACTTACACTGTTACCTGATTGTTTATAATAAAGAATACCGTACCTATATGTCTTTTGGCTCATTTTTCCTGTAAACCTCATAGAAGAGTCACTGTATGTGGGTCTGCAGCATCTTAAGTCAATTAATTTTAAACCATTCTATTTTGAAAATGGGATGTTAAATTCCACATGCTATAGAGAAATTAGGTAGTGGTTTTGATTAAACACCTTAGAATAACCATCGTGAAGTATAGATCCTGAAGATACTTCATAGTAACTTTAGAAAGGATATATGTAGAACCTTTTTCTGGATGGTAGCAAATATATTGCAGTGTATAGGGAAGAATGAGCACTTCTATTATTGTATAACATCTGTACATTGCTACAGATTGCCTATTAGGTGCTAAAAGGCAACTGGTGAGGGAGAACTAAAATGAAATCCAAAGAAATAGGAACACATCTAAAAATGTAAATTCTCAATTCCTTGCATCTAAATTTCCTTCTAATCTTAAAAAGGGGAAACTCTACACCTAGAAAACAGCTTTCTTATTTACTTGATCAGAGTTGTCAATTTTTTTTTTTTTTAACAAAATGGAGCCCTTTATTCAAAAAGTGTTTTGTGGGACTCCAAAATATAAACACATGAAAGATGTGCCAGTTTAGATCCAGGTGGGGACCATGAAGCCTCCAGTTTACACTGTAAGTTTCTGGAGAGCAGTGATTGTGTCTTGTTTGTCTGCGTCTCCCATGGTTCCTGACCCTGTGCTTGCACCTAATATTTGGCATTGGCATTTCAAACACGAATACACATTCTTTAAACATATCGTGGTATAGACATAAAAATACTGTCTTCAAACATCAGCCTGTCTTAGAGAAGTATTTTCATCATAGACTGCTTATATTTACTTATCAGATAGTTCTTATGTATCAGCAGGCACTGTAGATGCAATGACAAAGTCCTTGCTTTTGAGGAGCTTACCGTTTTGTGGAGAAAGATGAACAAGTAAACCAATAAGCAGTGTGCTGTCAGCTGTGACAAGCTGCTGGGACCACCGAGTGACATCTACATCAGACCCTGGGTAAGTACCAGGGAAGGCTTCTGGGCCGATCGAAGTTGCCATCCTTCATGTCGGTTCTCTTAGTAAATCATCCTGGGCATTCTAAAGCAGGTTAGTACCTCCTCTCTGTGTTCCCATAATACTTTGTGCCCATCGATGGTCCGTATCAGTTCCTGCACCACCCTGTTTACTTATCCTTCTCTCTGCCAGCCTGGGACGTGTTTAAGGACAGGGATTCTGTTTATTCATTTTCAGCATTTGCCAGCTACTGTTTGTTTAGAAAGGCTTTTGGGGATCACATTGTAAAGGCAGAAATGGTAGTTGTTTTTAACTCTTCCTTTAAAAATATCAGTAAGTATTTAGCTTCTCCCTTTCAAAATAAAATGCATTGCAAGCCTCCAATTGCATATCATGTGACCATGCACAGCAGATAGGGATCAGAAAAGCGCACTTGTGTTTCAGTTTGGAAATAGTTATCCAGCTGCATAGCAGTAGCATGGAAAAGTAGCTTTAGCAGTTAAACAGTTAAAATTGCTTTTATTCTAAGCATTTAATTTGTTTTCATAATGTGAATTTGAGTATGACAAGCATAAAGAATTTTGATGTTATAAGACCAAGTTAACAAAAAGACACTAATTCTGAAAGTTTACCTCTGCATGATGACTGATGGTTCCATTATTTGCATGCATCTGATAAAAATGTTAGGTATGGCCTCAGAATGACTCTTCATCTAAATGCCAATGTTAAATGGAGTAAATATAAGGAAAATTATATTCAGTTTGGTTTTTAAGCCAAACAGAATTCACACCTGCAATGTGTTATTTGGAGAGAACGCTTGCAAGTGTCAGGCTAACTTCTCTCTAGTCTCATCATTTAGGAAGGAAAAGCCTAAAAATTATCAAAATAGGCCAGGAGCGGTGGTTCATGCCTGTAATCCCAGCACTTTGGGAGGCCAAGGTGAGTAGATCACCTGAGGTCAGGAGTTCGAGACCAGCCTGGCCAACATGGTGAAACCCTGTCTCTGCTAAAAATACAAAAATTAGCCGGGCATGGTGGAAGGCACCTGTAATCCCAGCTACTCAGGAGGCTGAGGCAGGAGAATCGTTTGAAACTGGGAGGTTGAGGTGGCAGTGAGACGAGATCTTGCCATTGCACTCCAGCCTGGGCGACAGAGCGAGACTTCATCTCAAAAAATAAATACATAAATATTATCAAAATGATCCACTGATGTTTAATTTCAAATATTCCAAACATCATACTGTAAAAGTGTTTTGTCTTTTCTGATGCCATAATAGTATATACTTTCTTATACATTCAGTCTTCAAGCTAAATATTATACCATTTTACAATTCATTGTTCACACACTTGCTTTTCTTGACTCAGTTATTTTAAAACAAATTAAATAGAGCCCATCACTACATGACTGTGGAAAGTGAAATTTGTCTTAATAAAATATTTAAAGGTATACTGAAATGATTATAGTACAATGTTTAAAACATGTTGATATACAATAAAATATTTTAAACTTAAAATCATTTCTTTCATACATGATGAAAAAAATGTTACATTGATGATTGTTTTCTAAAGGAGTTGGTGAGATTATAGATTACTATGAAAGGCGTTTGCAAACAAAAGTTGGCAAAGTTACTATTTGTTTTTCCTGGTTTGGCATAAAAAGGAAATACAAAGCTCAGTGCTGAAGGACAAGAGAGAGCTCTTCATCTTGCTGCAGGAGTGGAAAAGAACTAAAAGGATGGAAAGAACTTCTGTGAAACAATGATCCATTAGCATTATACCATGTAAATCATGATGGCTTGAAGTAAAGGAGAGAGGCAGAAATCGGCAGGAGCTTGGAGGTAAAGGGTTTTACATACTAAACTGAGACATTTGGACCACAGGTTCTTAAATCTGCAATGACAGTTTAAAGCATTGCTACTGGTTACTTTAAAAAGCAACAGTCTATGATAGACCCTCCTTGGGGACCCCTGAATCATGATCCCCCCATCCTTGCTCCAGACACGCTACAGATTGCTGTGGAAAATCGTGTCGGAAGACATTTCAGAATTTGGGAGTTTAAGGCTCCAAATTGTCCCACTGCTTATAAGCTTTACGAGTTTGGTTAAGGTTTAGAAAGCTTTGGGTAAGCAGCAGAGGGCACTCAATGTACAATAAATATCACATATTCTAACTTGAGGGAAATGGTTTTTTGATCCAGGGTATGCAATTGGCTGGGTGCAGTGGCTCATGCCTATAATCCCAGCACTTTGCGAGGCCGAGGTGGGTGGATCAGCTGAGGTCAGGAGCTGGAGACTAGTCTGGCCAAAATGGCAAAACCCTGTCTCTACTAAAAACGCAAAAGTTAGCTGGGTGTGGTGGTGTGTGCCTGTAGTCCCAGCTACTCAGGAGGCTGAGGCACAAGAAGAGCTTGAACCGGAGAGGTGGAGGTTGCAGTGAGCCAAGATTGTGCCACTGCACTCTAGCCTGGGCAACAGAGTGAGACTCTGTCTCAAAACAAACAAGAAAACAAAGAGTGTGCAATCATTTTTCTTACATCTAGTTACAAGTATTATAGCATACAATCTAGTTGGTCACTATTGTTTATACTAGCTAAGTTTATCTTTTAAATAAGCAAGATACTAAGCAGTGCTTGCCTTAGAAATGTGATGAGATTCAACCCCTAGCACTGGAAGACTTTTATTAATTTCCTGTTGCTGCTGTAAAAAAGTGCCACAAATTTTGTGGCTTAAAACAGCATAAATTTATTTTACAGTTCTTACCCTTACAGTTCTTGAGTCCAGAAGTTTGAAATCTGTCTCACTGGGATAATGACAAGGTGGTGGCATGGCTAGTTCCTTCTGGAAGCTCTAGGGGGAATCGTTCTCTTGCTTTTTTTTATTTTTATTTTTATTTTTTTAGCTTCTGGAGGCTGCCTGCATTCCCTTGGCTGGCTATGCTTTTCTTGAATCTCTCTAACCTGTTGCTTCCATCATCACATCTCCTATTTCTTCTTCTGTAAGCAAGCGTTCCTCTTGTAAGGACACCTGTGATTACATTCTGAGCCCATCCAGGTAATTCAGGTTGATCTCTCCATCTCAGAATGCTCAACTTAAGCACCCCTGCAAAGTTCCTTTCGCCACATAAGACAACATCAACAAATCCTGGGAATTAGCACATGGATATCTTGGGGGGCCATTATCCAGCCTATCACAAGACTCTACTACTGACTGATACTGGAGGGAGGCAGGGAAGTGCTGGGTAGAGAAGAGTGGGGTCCCAGGCGAGGGCTCCACCCTTGGGCCTGTGCCCACAGACCTAAGTGAGAACAGGGATTCTTGTTTTTGCACCCAAATGTTGCATTTCCCAAGACCACTCTGGCCTGCCATGCCCCCATCCCATGGCCATATAAACCTGAGACCTTAGCAGGCACAGACACAAGTGGCTGAACATTGAGAGGAGCAGAGAAAGAGAGTGACAAAGAGTGGGAGTGGCAGGGCGGCACGGCAGAGAAGGGAAGAGGCATCTCAATGTCAAACAAGAACGGCAGGACTCCAGAGGAAGAGCGCCTTCTCATTCCGTGCCCCACTTCTGGTTCTGCATCCGTCTTGCTGAGAGCCTCCACCGCTCAATAAAACCTTGCACTCATCCTTCAAGTCCACGTGTCATCCGACTCTTCTGGTATGCTGGGCAAGAACGTGGGGTACAGAAACCCGTCACACTGGACACTGCCCTTACAATAAGGCACAGGGTCTATTGAGCTGATTAACATAATCCATCTGCAGACGGCAGAGCTGAAAGAGCACACTGTAACACACAGCCACCTGGGATTCAGGAGTCACAGCCAGCCATCCCTAGATGCTGCCGTTAGGCCGAAGCCCAAAAGCGCTCCCCAAGGCCTCTGCACCTGCCTGTCTGCATGCTCCTCCTATGGGTTTGAGCAACAGGGAGACAAAAGGAGAGAGCCATACCCTTGTGGCATGCCCTGCAAGGGGGCTAAGGGAACTCTCATTTCACTAGTTATCTTGTGCTCTAATCAGAACCATCATCAATGGAAGTTAATGGTTAAAAACCATTATCTGTTGTTCATGTTATTAGGTTGTATCCATTTCCATTAACATAGGGTCCTTCTTACAGCTGTCAGCTGTCCAATAAACCAAGAATTTGACTAACTTACTGTGTAACTATGGGAGGTTTTACTTCAATGACCTCCAATGAGCCACACACATCCCAGTGTTGATGGCCACCCGCATGACTTTGGGTTAGCTGTGTGACCTAATTTGGCCAATGGCATGTTAGCAAGTATCGAGGGAAATTCTCCCCCAGTAATTCAACGTGAGTCCTTTTCTATTTTCCCGAAGTGTCGGCTGGTCTGAGAAATAAAGGGAAAGAGTACAAAAGAGAGAAATTTTAAAGCTGAGTGTCCAGGGGAGATACCACATGTCGGCAGGTTCCGTGATGCTACCTGAGCCGTAAAACCAAAAAGTTTTTATCAGCAATTTTCAAAGGGTAGGGAGTGCATGAATAGGGTGTGGGTCACAGAGATCACATGCTTCAAGGACGACAAAAGATCACAAGGCAGGAGGTCAGGGCGAAACTAGAATCACTAATGAACGTCCATGTCCAGCTGTGCATGCATTGTCATTGATAAACAAGGTTCAAGAGCAGAGAACCGGTCTGACTAGAATTTGCCAGGCTGGAATTTCCTAATCCTAGCAAGCCTGGGGGCGCTGCAGGACCCTAGGGCGTGTTTCATCCCTATTTACATCTGTGTAAGGCAGACATTCCCAGGGCGGCCATTTTAGTGGCCCCACCCTGGGAATGCATTCTTTTCCCAGGGCAGTTAATTATTAATATTCCTTACTGGGGAAAGAATTCAGTGATACTTATCTTACCCGTTTTCGGTAATAAGAGAAATATGGCTCTTTTCCACCCAGCCCACAGTCAGACTTTAAAGTTATCTCCCTTATTCCCTGAAAATTGCTGTTATCATGTTCTTAAGGTGCCAGATTTCATATTCAAATACACATGCTCTACAAACAATCTGTGCAGTTAACGCAATCATCACAGGGTCCTGAGGCGACATTCATCCTCAGTTTACAAAGATGATGGGATTAAGACATTAAAGACAGGCATAAAAAATTATAAAAGTATTAATTTGGGGAACTAATAAATGTCCATGAAATCATCACGATTTATATTCTTCTGCTGTGGCTTCAGCCGGTCCCTCCGTTCAGGGTCCCTGACTTCCCGCAACAAGCAAGCATTATGCAAGCAGAGGTTTGAATGAGTACTTGCACTTTGGGGCATATCTTCTTGGAACGTTACTCTTGGGAGCAAGCCCCCATGCTAGACTACTGAATGAAGAGATGTCTGTGGGCCAGGTGCAGTGGCTCACGCCTGTAATCCCAGCACTTTGGGATGCCAAGGCAGGTAGATCACCTGAGGTCAGGAGTTTGATACCAGTCTGGCTAACATGGTGAAACCCAGTCTCTCTAAAAATTCAAAAAAAAAAAAAAAAATTAGCCAGCTGTGGTGGCACATACCTCTAATCCTTGCTACTCAAGAGGCTGAGTTGGAGAATTTCTTGAATTCAGGAGGCAGAGTTTGCAGTGAGCCGAGATCGCAACATTCTTTTCCAGCCTGGGCGACGAGCAAAACTCCATCTCAAAAAAAAAAAAAGAGATGACTATGATGGACAGAGGCTCTGGAGAAGGGGCCAGTAGAATTTCTAAAGGCCCAGATAGTAAGTATTTTTGGCTTTGTGGGCCATGTGGTCTCTGTGATTGTCACAACCACTCAGCACTGCCACTGTAGTGCAAAAGGAGCTGTAAATTATACATAAGTGAATAAGCGTGGTTGTGGTTATGTTCCAGTAAAACTTTGTGGACACTGAAATTTGAATTTCATATAATTTTCACGTATCACAAAATATTTTTGTTTTGAATTATTTTTCAACTATTACAAAATGGAAAAGCAATTTAATTACTGAAAGTGTAAAAATGACAAAAACTGAGCATGGGTTGGACCGGCACAGGGGCCTTTGGTTTGAAGCCTCCAGCTGTGGAGGATGGGAGGTCATCTTGACTGTCCAGTCACAGCCATGCTGCCATCTGACTGTGGCCTCATGAGATGCCCCAAGCAAGACTACCAGAAGAAACTCTCAGCTCAGCTCAGCCAACCCACAACACTGTGAGGAAAAAGAAAAAAAAATAAGTTGTTATTTGAGCCACTGTGCTGTGGGGCTTTTCAGTTATCTAACACACTGAAACAGTAGGAAAGCTGTAGTTGTGCCTATCATTCAGGTGTTTGGCATGTTGATAAAACTTTGCCTGCTGTTCATCAAGAGGTCTCAGATAAGCAGCTTATCACAAAATACAGGCAGTACCTGCAGTTTATGATACGGTTGCTACTCTGGTTCTGATCAATATCTTGTTCAACTTGCTATGCCTGTATGTCAGCTATTTAAGAGATTTCTGTTCTTGATTTTCCAAGAACACGTGAGAAGCCTTGCCATTTTGGTTGCTAGAAGTAAACCCATCAATTCCTGCCTCCTATTGATAGAGGTAGGAGATAGCCAAATGCCTAGGCAGATAGGGAAGGGTACCAGAGAACCTCTGACCTGTCCAGGTCATTGCGCTCAGGGGGCTTACCTAAACACGCCCACAGTGAAAAATTCTTTCCCTTAACACGTGCATAATATGGGAAATAAGTCAATATGGAATGGTTCAGACTAAGGGCCCATATGTGCACTGAGGGAATGGGGCAGAGTCACCAGGAATTCATGCCTTATCCAGGGGAGGGGCCTGGTCTCTTCAGCTTGTTTGTGGTGACCTGGTATTCAATTTGTGAAGTGGGAGCCTACTGGTGGTACCCCGCCCCCCACCTTTTTTGGTGAGAGCTTTCTTTTTGCTTAGTAAATTCTGCCCTCCTCACCCTTCAATGTGCCCTCGCACCTAATTTTTCCTGGCTGTGAGACAAGAACCCAGATTTAGCTGAACTAAGGAGCAAAAAATCTTGCATCACCATTACTAACACTAAGGGTGAGCTATTACATTTCCCAGCAAGGGCACAGTGTAGGCAGTCAGGCAGCACTGGCCTCTGAGGACACTGCCATTCCTGCCACTGCTGTGCTTGGCATAGTCACCACAGTGGCCCCAGCATCTGACCTTCAGCACATAGCCGGAGAGACACTCGGGGACTGGTGAGCTGCTGCTCAGAAAGCATTCAGCACTCAGCCTTCCTCTCCAAACTGGGTACCTGAGAATTGCTCTGAATGTCTCAGTTCTAAGTTGTTCTTGCCCTTCAGAATGGGCAATGCCTGGCCTGGGCAGGGGCTAGAGTCACTTTCAATTGCTAACAAAGCAGGACATGTTGAGGAAAGTGAGATACTGGGTGGACTGTATAACTCATTAAAGGTAGCAAATGTCTGGGACTAATTGCAAAAGGCAATTGATTCTTTGTTGTTGGCATTAAAGAGGTGAACAAGAAATAGAGACACAGTAACATATCATTTGGGCATGTTATCCAGAGAAGGGCACCCAGATAAGAGATCAATGTTTGTTTTTTCTTGGACAAGCATTTCCCTGGCCAAAAGGGTCCACCTAATTACCCCAAGAGGCAGGGTGTACATGTCATGATGGACAGTTTAAAAAGAAAAGGCCGGCTCTGCAAGTACAAGAGAAACTCAAAACTAAGAGTCTCAGCACACCCTGCTATGAAGCAAACTTGAGTTTCCATACTAGCAGACAATTTTAGGTTTTCTTAGAAAAATATTGATGTCTCTAATACTCAGTTTCCCTCATTTTTTTTTTGTTTGTTTATGGAGACAGAGTCTTGCTGTGTCACCCAGGCTGGAGTGCAGTGGCAGGATCAGGGCTCACTGCAGCCTCAACCTCCTGGACTCAAGCAATCCTCCCACCTCAGCCTTCTGAGTAGCTGGGGGCACCACCATGCCCAGATAATTTTTGTATTTTTGTAGAGACAGGGTTTCACCATGTTACCCAGGCTGGTCTCAAACTCCCGGGCTCAAGTGATCTGCCTGCCTTGGCCCCCTAAAGTGCTGGGATTACAGGTGTGAGCCACCGTATTAGCTGGTTTCCTTCATTTTCTGAAAAGGACTGCTGTCACAATTACCCTCACTGTGCCCCCACGTTTCTGCAGATGATTTTAATCAGCATGATGGTGAAGTACAGGTATGCATGTATAGTTTAATGATATAACCATATTGCCATAATAAACACTAACAATTTTAATGCTAATATGTAATGTTAATTAATATATTACTATTAACATATCCTGCTGCTTATTAGATTTTCAAAGGCAACCGGTATAAAATCTGATTAGTGCTGACTATGGTCTCCAATTTAAGAAAAGTAAATCGTTCGAGGTGTAATTATAGGAGGAACACAAACAAACTCCCGCTAGTCATAGCTTGTCTTCTGGCTTCTTCCTCAGCTTTCCATTTGGGTTTTCATGCTGCACACACTCTCGGGTCCTCTAAAGCCCAAGCTACAAATAGCTCATAAAAATCGGCGTCTGTGCTTATGGAATACATCTTAAGACAGGCTACATCCTTTTCTGCTACTAGGGTAAAGCTCTGAAGAGGAAAGATTTATTTTGCTGCAGTAGATGATTTTTTAGAAAGTTCATCTCCAGTGGTTTAGAATAATCCAAACAACCAATGGAAGATGGAGTACTATATGTCAGGGGTAATCAGGGAAATAGCTTATCTTTTGATTGAAAGGTGAGATCAACTCACCTGATTATTAAACATGTCAAGTATTTTCATTAAAATGTTTTAAAAACAACTGTTACCTTCAAACTCAATAAAAGAGGTATTTAAATCAGATTTTTTTTTTTTCTATAGTGAGGGAAGTCAGTCCATTTTCAAATAAACTGCTATCTGAACACAGGCCCTAATCTATGGACCTTCAGCAGTATCTGTGGTCATGAGTAGAACATTAATTTTTCTAGCTAAGGAAGTTAGAAACTAAAGACAGTTACAAACTGAGGGTGTAATAATGATTTTTTAAAATACTAAAATTTCCATTTCAATGAGTTATACAAAAGCAATTAGAACTATTTGACAATATTCATATTAATCATATTTTCTAATTCTAGAAAAAGAAATGGGACATTATAAATCAGTAAACATTTGAAAGATTCCAACTTGAGACTTTTAAAACCAAGACTAGAATTCCTCTGCGTCTAGTAAGAATAAACTAAAGAACAGAATAAAGAAATCAGCCAACTCAAAGGTCAACAACTGGACTTTAATGAATTAATTTTGTTAAAAGCAAACAGATATGCAAGTAAAAACACACACATTAAAAAATGAACAAAAACATTCTTGCTTTCCATAAGTACTTCTCAGAACAGCCATGATTAAGTTTAACTATATATAGAGTTTAAAAAACAAGTAACAAATTTTTGTATAGTTAAACTTGAGACACATACATTTATATCCTAATATTGGATATATTCTCTTGACATTTAATTTGTTATTCCTATTGGTAGGTTTGTCTTTTTAAAAGTTTTAAAGTTTTCCTAGGAGAAAGTATAAGGAAAAAGTATCCAGATTACCCATCATTTTTGAACATTACTTAGGAATAGCAGTTTTGAGATAGCTCAATTGTGAAAAACAATGACAAAATGCTGGACTGTTAGTTTTATTTTCAGGATCTCCTTTTTGAAAAGGATCTTTTTCATTTTGTTTAATAAAAATAAGTATAAGAAAAATAATTTTGTCTTGGCATTGGTGGGCTGAGATCTATACTGTTCACAAATTCAACAAACAAGAAATATCTGCTTTAAGAGATCAACACTAACAGGTAACATGAAAGACAGAAGCCAACTGTAAGAGACACATCCCAGTGTGCTTAGTTAATCCCTCAGGTTTTACTAGCACACCTCTGAAAAGAGATGCACATCCTAAATTCACAGATATTAAACAATAATCACTTTCCTTACATCTATATAAAATGTGCTTACCTCTCTGACAGCTTCAGTCTTAACTGAAAAGAAAGGTTATTAAGAGAACCCAATTATAGGTGCCCCAACTACATGTTAGCACCACAAAATAGCCATCAACATTTCTTAGGAGTGTTTTTGGCACTGTGGGTGAGACAATCCTTAGTATGTGGGACTACCCCTGATACTGCAGAACATTTAGCATTCCTGACCACTCACTAAAAACCAATGGTTTTCAAGGTCACTATGACAATCAAATGGATCCTTGATGAGAACCACTGAGCTAGATGAGTCAAGATTAATATCTATTAACTTTATGACTTCCACAGAAAGTAACTGCTTCATTACCTTCAGTAACAATGACTGAAGAGGAATATATTTTTAAAAAACATTATAATTAAATGTTATTTTGGAAAGATAAGCTGACTTCTTCAAACTCATAGTAATCTGAAAGATTAGATGCACAAAGTGCAATACTTATTTATCCCCAAATGCACACATACATTTACAGGAAAATGTTTATGTTCTACAGGCATATATTATTACCCCATTTATATTTGGTAAAAAAATATGCTCATCTATTACAGTAAGATAAAAACCATGTAGATGTTCTTGATAAGTTCCCTCACATTGATGCTCCTGGAAACTGCTGCTGTCTTTGCTCCAAAACTTGCTGATTTAATAGTTGTTGCTGTTTCTGTAAAAATTGCACTACTTCTGGACTTCTTAGTAACGACTTAGAAAGAAAAGAAAAAAATTATTAATAGCATTAATCTATGTGATTAGACTGTTTTCATGCTATGAAATTACTCTGATGTGTCCCTACACGACACAATATTTCACAAAAATATGCCTGAATCAAAATCACTTTTACATCTGATGCACTGCAACTAAGCTGCAAACTGAAAATAATGTGATGTCACACATCAAAATACTAAAACCTAAAAATAACAGATGAAGTCTGTTATTGGTGACTTTGTACACAAAGGAAACGCCTTCTATAATATGCCAGCAAATATATCTCTTGAAATACGTAAGAACAAAGAGCACTGACCCAGGATTATAGCAAGAAAAAAAATGGAGATGAAAGGGAGCCACATGTGAAAATAGCAGCTAAATGCCAGTTTGTACATACATATAAACTAGTGCTAGAAGTCAAGTTTCTCATTAGCCAACTAAGTCTTCATAAAGAAATTTAAAATTGTGTATATAGGTGTGCATTTATATATGTGTATATATATAGGTATATACCAAAATTTCAGGAAAAAAACTAATAGAACTGCTCCAAAACATCCAATACCTTTTTGTACACTCATCATTTTAAAATATAGTTGTAATAATATAACAAATATAACAGACTATGATTAACATATGATTATTAGAGACAGGGTCTGTGTTCCCCATGCTAGAGTGCAGTGGCGGGAGCATAGCTCACTCGGTCTTGAACTCCTAGGCTCAAGCAATCATCCTGCCAGTCTCCCGTAATATGTTTTTATAATAAAATACATAAATTTATAAAGAAAAAATCTTTGGCCCCAATAAGTTGCAAAAAGATAAACTGAATAAAGTGAACATACTATCATTAAATCCTGATTTCAACATTACATGTATTATATCTTGGTACGTTTTCTATTTATTAAATAGTTTTGTTTAAAAATCATCTTAGCTGTTATGACACCGTTGGACATTTAGGTTGCTTCAATTACCTTTTTACTATTTATGATAAACATATTCCTGGCAATATCTTTATGTTTAACTCCATCCATATTTAGGATTTACATCCTGTAAATGCCTTCATATTAAATGTGATGTCTGAGTCAAAAGGGATGGCTCCTGGTACATAATGCCCACTGCTTTCTGAAAGTGCTATACCAATATATAATGCCATTAACTGCAGGAGGATGCCCATTTCATGAAAGTCTCAACATCATTGCATCATTGTGGTAATCGTTTAAACAATTTTCACTTTTTGTTTATTTTTAATGATGTTGAATACCTTTCCATATCATTTAATGGTATTCCACCTATTTTTTTCTGTTTGTATCTTTTGCAATGTATTGAAGTCAAAGGTTCTCCTCATCAAATTATAGGAATTGTTGTAATAACCTTTCTTTGCAGTTAAGACTGAAGCTGTCAAAGAGGGAAACATATTTTATATATATATATACATGTTTAGTGATTTATAGGGTGCTCTGTTGCCTAGGCTGGAGTACAGTGGTATGATCACAGCTCATTGCAGCCTCAAACTCCTGGGCTCAAGCAATCCTCCTGTTTCAGCCTCTTGACTACAGCTACATACCATCACACTCAGCTACTTTTTAAATTTTTTTGTAGATGGGGTCTCGCTATGTTGCCCAGAATGGTCTCAAATTCCCAGCCTCAAGTGATCCTCCCACCTGGCCTCCCAAAGTGCTAGGATTACAGGCATGAACCACCATGCCCAACCAGGAATATTTTATGTGATAAAATATCAGCCACAATAACCACAGTCTTTTATACTTGTTGTACATATTTTTGCTCTAGGTTATTGTGCATTTTGCCACTAGTTTTGACTATAGCATTCATTTTTATGTAGTCAAGTTTATAATCTTTTCCCTGTGATTTTGTCTATATAAGCTAAAAAAAATCTCGTTAGAGATTTTTGAGGTAAAGTTTTGATTCTTTTTTTAAAACTTTGACTCCTTATTAGGAATTCATTTTGATGTATAGTGTGATGTCATGAGTTAAAATCTCAAAAATCTCAATAATTCAATTTATAACAAAAAAGTTTGTTAACACATTTATAACTGATTTACAAACAGATATTTACCAGTCTTTTTTGATTTAACACTTGTTCTAAAAGAGTAGGTCTTGCAGGACGATCCCCAAAAGATCCTGTTCTTTGTTTAACAATGGAGAGTATGTTATCTGCACTTTCCTGGGATAAATGATAAAAATGGAAATAGATAAACAGTTAATGTAATAAGTCATGATTACAGGTATTTCAAAGAGGTAATGAACAGGTCTTTGCATTTCTTCCTTCTTCTTGCCCAGTCTCTGTAACACTGGAAAGTTCTTCATTATAGGCAAGATACCGGCAGTTAATTTGATGTAACATTCCTTCTCACTCCCTCTCCCACCTGATTTTCAACCTGGGTTCTTTAGTCTCTTGACAGGTCTCAAAATTAATAGTGTGTGATACAGTGTGATAGAGTAACAGTGTGAGAGGTGGGCCACTAAGATTGAGGCAGAGTTACTTGTGAGCTATTTTCAACATTACAAAAAATGCCAAGTGGAATTGACCATTCTCTTTTTATAATGCTATCCAGGCCAAAACATAATCTGCTTGCCTTTGGATGAAATATATGAACTCAGAGGCAAATTATGCACTGCTCAATAAGTTATCTGATAGCTTTTACCCAGTTAACAACCAAAACAAATGGGGGAGTAGTAAAATATTGTTTAAAGAAGCAATTGATAACCAAATCTTTCAAAATTTAGATAAACTTGCTTGAAAAAGCACTAGTATAGTCTCCTGCCACCTGTATGAACAAAACAGGCAAGTCCTAAAACGATACCATTACCCTGAGATTTAACTGCCCAAAAAAAAATCAGCCGCACTTATTACCAGTTAGGTACTCCCAGTTACCTGACTGCATCTTAAATACTTGCAATTTTGCTGGCATAACAAAATATTGTTTAGCTGACTGAAATATTCTGACTCTTACAAAACTATGCTACAATACCACATCCAAAATTCTTACTAAGTAAATATAAAACTATAAATGTTTTACCAGAAAGCCATACTTTACATGAATTTAACCTCTTTGTTCTTTACTTAGAATATTATCTATGCTGTTTTTTTCTCTTGGCCTTCTTTCTACCGGCCTCTGAGTTATCTATGAGAATATCCTCTTAATCTCTTTCATTATGAGAAGTTTACCAACCTTATATTACGAAAACATTTCATCCCTAAATATTTTAGGCCTCAACACGTAACAACTGTAAAAAGAAAATTCTAATACCCAGAGGAAACAAAAATAACTTCTTCCTCCCCCACCGACCCCCGAGTTGATTTTATTTATGAGATTCTTTAATTTTTATGTGCAAGATAATGGAATGCTGAAATTGACTTGACGGTACAGTACCCTCCGCCCTCACAACCTCACTATGCAAATTCAAAAGGTTAATATCACAAAATATTAGATACTGAATTAGATAGAGAAGCTTGTAGTGAAAATAACCTTTACTCATCTAGTCCAAACTTGTACAGATGTTGGAATTCTTTTTCAAAAACTTTCAATGCTCTTTGTCCTACAGAGTTTACCAACTTTTGCCACACTTCATTTGGTTTTGAATAGCTCTGATATTTCGGTAGAATGTTAGGTAGCTTTACTTAAGCTGAGCTGAAATACATACTCCTTGTGATTTATGCCTAAGAGTCCCAGTCACCTCAGAACTATGCCATATAAGTCTACTCCTTCTCTTAAATGATAGCTTTTCAGGTATTTAATAACAACAATCCCACCAACAGAAGTCAATTCATTTATCCCTAGTCCCTTTATGTGTCTCTCATAAAGCACAGTTCTTAGATTGGTGGAGTAGACATTATACACACTTGTTCCTCACTTAACCTCGGCTTGTGTAAGAAATAATTTTAGATACCTTAATTTCTTTAATTTTTTTACCTTAATAAATCCTTCATTGGAATAGAGACCTTAATTTCTAATCTTGCTGCTCATAGCATAGCAGAAGATACCGTCATCACCTGTCAGTCCTATTATAATGATCTTCGAAATAGTCTCAAAATCATTAGGCTCTCAACTTTAACCCACTCCATCAGGGTAGGAGCCTCTGCTCCTTCCTAATTATCACTTCATTTAAAGACTCCAAACCCAAATCCCATAGGCTGGCATTCAATACTAGAAAAAACTAGCTTCAACCTATCTTTCCAAATGTTTCTCTCATAAATTTTCCACTCAACTATTACATTTTAGCCAGAATAGTCCACTTGCTATCTTCACAAAAGTGTTTTCTGTATTCCTACTTCTCTCTCTTTACTAAAATGTGCTTCTCTTTCCTTTTATCTACCAGAATTCTAGGGAAGCAGTACAGTAAGGGGGTGAAAGTGAAGGCTCTAGAATAAGACTGCTTGTGCTTGAGTACACTACTTGCTGGCTGTATGACCTAGGCCAAATCCTTTAGCCTCTCTGTGCCTCAGTTTCCATGTATGTAAAACATAGTACCTATCCCATTGCTGAAGGGCTGTGAGACTCCATTTATAGCTTAACACAGCGCTTGACACATAAGAAACTCAGCTCATTAAGCGTAAACTATTACCCATCCTTTCTGGTTTATCCTGAGTCACATTTCCTCTGCAAAGCCTTTCTGGAGTATCTCAGCCTACAATGATCTATCCTCCTCTGAACTACTAAAACCGGACTATATAGTTGGCTCTTATTATATCCCGACTGGCACTGTTGTTTTCTTTACACTCACTCAGTTTAACAAAGATAAAGACTTACAGATCTTGTTACCTCCTCAGAACTGATAAAGTATCCCACAATATAAGACAAATTGGATAGTAAGCTATTATTTGTTGCTTATAGCAATTAATTCCCTTCCCTAAAAAGTCATGCAAATTATTTCAAAATAGTGAAGCTGGGTGCAATGGTGAGGTAATCCCAGCTACTCGGAAGGCTGAGGCGGGAGGGTCACTTGAGCCCAGGAATTTGAGGCCAGCCTGGGCAACAGTGTGAGACCCATCTCTACAAATTAGATAAGTAAATAAATAACAAAATAGTCAATTATGAGGTTCTTTTTGTGGGAGGTGCAGAGAGAGACTCTCAGTATCAATTTGCCTTTTACACATTTTTCTTACTGTAGATGTAAATGCTAGGTAGTTAAAAAAAAAAAAAAAAAGTAAGCAGCCATAGGTTAACTACTTCTTTCTTGAAAATAAGTATTATTAAGCTGGGTGTGGTGGGTCACACCTGTAATCCCAGCACTTTGGGAGGCTGAGGTGGGAGGATCGGGAGTTCGAGACCAGACTGGCCGACATGGCGAAACCCGGTCTCTACTAAAAATACAAAAATTAGCTGGGGGTGGTGGTGCATGCCTATAATCCCAGCTACTTAGGAGGCTGAGGCACAAGAACTGCTTGAACCCAGGAGGTGGAGGTTCTAGTTGGCCGAGATCGCACCACTGTACTCCAGCCTGAGCAACAACAGAGTGAGACTCTGTCTCAAAAAAAAGAAAGAAAAAAAGTATTATTTTTCTCCCTCTCCAAAGAATTCTGAAGCGAATGAGCACCTGTGGAACATAATGAGGAAGAAACTTGATCACTTTTACTAACTTTCATTCTTTTCCAGGTGTTTATTTCTCTAATTCCCCATAATCAGAGATTTGGTAAAACATATAACAAGAATACGGATTGAGGGGGTTTTTAAACTAAGATTACAGAAGTTCTGAGCCCATTAATTAGTAGGCAAAATTAAAGTTACATAGTGGATTTTTCTAGGAAGAGTCTTCATTAAGTCACCAGATACTCAAAGGAGTCCTCTTACTCCAAAAGATTGAAACTTAAGGGAAAGAGAAGTCACTCAGTCCTAACCAGTGTGAATTAAGTATGACACACTGGCAACTGTAGATTTTGGAAATATTTAGAATATTATACTTTTTGTTTTTGAGACAAAGTCTTGCTCTGTCACCCAGGCTGGAGTGAAGCGGCACAATCATGGCTCATTGCAGCCTCAATCTCCTGGGCTCAATGATCTTTCCACCTCAGCCTCCTGAATAGCTAGGACCACAGGCATGTGCCAACATACCCAGCTAATTTTAAAATTTTTTGTTGAGATAGGGGTCTCCTATGTTACGTAGGCTGGTCTCGAACTCCTGGGCTCAAGCAATCCTCCCTCCTAGGCCTCCCCAAGTTCTGGGCTTACAGGTATCAGCCACTGTGCCTGGCCTAGAACATTACATTTGTAAACAATTACAAGGTCTAATATTTTAGTAATGGAGCACTTCAAGTTCAGCCTGAAACTAAGAAATTTAAAGACTTAGAATACATCCTAAGACCCTAAGACAGCTTGCAGTTAAAGAAAAAAATTTTTTGACCACTTTTTTTTTTTTTTTTAAGGAGATAGGGTCTCGCTATGTCATCCAGGCTGGAGCGCAGTGATGCAAACAAGGCTCACCGCAGCCTTGAACCCCTGGTCTCAACCAATCCTCCCACCTCACGCTCCCGAGTACAGCTGGGTATACAGGCACTTGCCACCATACTTGGCTTGGATCACTTGTAACAAAATTACATTTTTCTCTACACTGAGGGATTACATAGCTCTCACAAGAAGAAATATCTGCTTATCTGTGACAGCCTCAAAGTATACCACTAACAATGACAATAATAACAGCAAAGGTTTGCAAACTTGAACCAGTTGCTGGACACTGTGTGAACACTCAGTATGGAATGGCTCACATATTCACAGCAACACTGTGAATGACATACCATTTTAATGCTCATTTTACAGCGTTTCATAACCTATTCAAGCCACACAGCCAGCAAATGATGGAACAGGGATTTGCACCCAGAAGTCCAACTCCAGAACACTGGTTTTACCTTTGACTCAGTTCAAATCAAACAATCCAAAAGTTTTTTGAGACTTACACCCCATTATCATCCTTTTTTTCCCCCCCTCAGGGGTACTAAGAAAAGGGATAGTGAAAACAGGGTACTAAGAACAAGGATACTGAGAACAAGGTATATTAAGTATTGGGATAGTGAGAACATGAGAACAAGGGACTAAATATAGGGGTACTGGGCACAGAGTTGTAAGAAAAGGGTACTAAGTACAGGGGTACTACAGACAGGCAACTGAGTATAGTAGTACTAAAAATAGGGTACTAGGAAGAGGGTTAACAGAACAGGGCACTAAAAACAAAGTACTAAATAAAGGAGAATTACGAATAGAGGTACTGAGAACTGGATACTGAGAAAAGAGTAGTGAAAACCGAAAGAGATGACTTTCTCAGAAGGACCAACTTCATCTAGGTTCCTAAGTCTCTAGCGATGAACCAGACCGAACATTTACTCTATGTCCTTCCAGCCATATCCCAGATCTATGACAGCTCTGCCGATGTCACACTATTTTTACTGAAATTTCAGCACCTATCATATGGGTGCAACAGAACTGTTACTGCTTCGCACATGTTGGTATAAACTTTAATTTAGGGCAAACATTCTAATTCTCAACCACTAACCCAGTCACTACAACCCGGCCCATTTGGAAGCGGATGGGCCGGCCCTGGAGATGCGGTTTGCGTTAAGATTGGGTTTCTTCTTCCACCGCCCACCCCTAGGCCTCAGCTAAGTCTGATACCTCGAGTTTGACGTTTCCCGCGCTGCCAGTCGAGGCAGTCCCACCGCAGTTCAGGGCCTGGTCGCTCTTCTTCTTTTTATACTTGTCCTTGTACATCTTGTTGCGGTGTTTCTTGCACATCCACGGCTTGCGCTGCTTGGCCACCTGGCTCGTGGTCTCGCTGCAGCCTTCGTAGGTGCAGGTCTTGCTCATGCTGCCCCCGCCGCTGCCCCGCCTCCGGGCGCCCCCGCTGCTGCCCTCGCCCCCCGAGTGGGTCTCCTCGTCCTCCAGATCCTCCAAACTAGCCGCGCTCTCGCCTCCCCCTGGAGGGTCCGAAGTGTCTAGCAGGTCCGCTTCGTCCTCCCCAGCCTCCTCTTCGCCATCCCCGGCCCCTTCGCACAGGTACCTAACGGGCTTGCCCGCCCCAACGCTGCCCCCGGGGACCGCGGCCTCGTCCTGCCCAGCACAGGGTTGCATCACCAGCAGGGTGAACTGCGAGGCCGCGGTCGCCACCGGGGCTGGCGCCAGGGCGGGAGCCGCAGCCGGGGCTAGGGCCGCGGGGTGGGGCACGCCGCTGGCGGCGCCCGGCCCCGCGCCCTCCGCGACACCCTGCGCCTCCATGCTGCTGAGACCTGGCCGGGGTCCACGACTCCGGGCTTTTAGCACCTGCCTGGCCTAGCGGCACTTCGCAAAATAAAGACTCAAGACACGCTACGGGAAAGCGCGGCGGTGCCCCGAAGGCGCCCCGACTGCGCCTGCGCCTCCGCAGCCTGAGCGTCAGCGTGTGTACGCCCGCTGGCTGTCATGGAGCGCGGCGCCTCTGGGGGCGGGACTGAGCGCACGGCTGAGCGCACAGCCGACGGGACTGACTGCGCATGTGTGGATCCGGCTCCTTCGGCCAGCTGAGGGATTTGCAGACCCGGTCTGCGGGGCTGTGGTTGGCAAGGCAGCGCCGTTTTACCTGAACCTATTGTATCTAAAGCGGTTCAAAGCATCTTCTACAGGAGTTCCAGTAAGCAAATTAAGATTGTTCCTGAGCAGTCTCACAACTTGTAGTGTTAGGATGCTAATTTTATTATTTACCCCCAAACTGCCTGCAAGGGGAGATTTGAAGCTGGGATATAGTGGTGTCACAGCCTGGAGCCACTAGCTCGCAGTCCAAGAGGGCAGAAATGGCTTATTTGAAAATAATGGAGCGGAGAGGGGTGGGCCACACCTTTGGCGGAGTTGTATTTGTATTGAGGGTTAACTTTGTTTTCTTCTCCTGGAAACTCACTTGATTTTTAATACTTGCTCTTTGCTGTGGCTGCTGAGATAAGTCTTAACGTTTTCATTTCACACAGTGAAAATGTGTGAAAAGGAATACTGAATGGCAAAAGTTTAAAAAAAACAATGAATGTTCTATCAGTTCTATCAGTTGCTGGGTAATTGCTGGTTGTTAAATCTTGGCTTGCCCAAATCCCAGGAGAGAAAATATCCTGCCGTATCCTGAACTGTTAAGTAGATGTTCTTTTTCCCTTCATCCTGTTCTTTCGCCTGGTCAGATTTCCCATCCCACCTACCGGAAAGCAATGACTTTATTCAACAAACTATAAATCCATTCACACCAAGACGTTTGGGTGCTGACATGTAGGTAGATCAGTTATGTTTTAAAAAGAGGCAAGTGGAAGGGAGAAGGTTTGGAATTAGAGCAACCTAAGTAGTACTGTCCTGTGTGACTACAGCAAGTTGGTTACAGCCTCTCTGAGCCTCAGTTGCCTCATTAGTAAAACTTGGCAGTCGGTGGTGTGCTAGGGCCAACTGATGATACCTGGTTGCCAACATTTCAGAAATATAAATAGCAGAAAAATTAAACACTGCTATTATTAAAAATCTTACTACATGAACTTACAATAAGATTTATTAAAAACAAAGGTTACGGCCGGGCGCGGTGGCTCAGCCTGTAATCCCAGCACTTTTTGGGAGGCCGAGGAGGGTGGATCACGAGGTCAGGAGATCGAGACCATCCTGGCTAACACGGTGAAACCCTATCTCTACTAAAAATATAAAAAATTATTCGGGCGTGGTGGCGGGCGCCTGTAGTCCCAGCTACTCCGGAGGCTGAGGCAGGAGAATGGCGTGAACCCGGGAGGCGGAGCTTGCAGTAAGCCGAGATCGCACCACTGCACTCCAGCCTGGGTGACAGACCGAGATTCCGCCTCAATAAATAAACAAACAAAACAAAACCAAAAAACAAAGGTTACAAATCTCAAAACTCTTCATTTTCTAATTATTTTATTATGTTTTATCATTATCTGTGCTCTTAAGGTTATTTATGTCGTATCTGTATACGGAAATATTATTTAGTGGTGTGTTACTGCACATTTTCCCAACTCTGCCTTCAGTATGGCATGTTGATTGCTTGAAATCAGCCACTATTGCAGTATTTACACCAGGGAAATTATCAAATGCTACAAAGCAGGTTTACACTTATTGTTGATTGTCTCTGCACTTAAGAAACTGATAGTGAAAATGTTAATGAAGATTAAATTTAAGGCCGGGCTCAGTGGCTCCCATCTGTAATCCCAGCGCTTTGGGAGGCTGAGGCAGGCGGATCACGAGGTCAGGAGTTCGAAACCAGCCTGACCAACATGGTGAAATCTCTACTAAAAATACAAAAATCGGCCAGGTGTGGTGGCCCACACCTACAATCCCAGCTACTCAGGAGGCTGAGGCATGAGAATCGCTTGAACCCGGGAGGAAGAGATTGCCACCATGCCCTGCCAGGAGTAGTCTCTTTAAGTGGGAACCAGTGAGATGAAGAAGTGCTTATTCTTTTTTGATAATCTGGCTTATTTGGGCTTTTTTCATGACAAGGAAGCAAGGCCTATTAAAGGGGCCTCAAGCTCTGGGGGTCAGGGTGGGGCAATGCCGTCAGTAGACAAAACTAGGACAGAATGGCATCAGAATTGAGGCAGGGCTAGGGACCAGCTGCTCTCCCCAGCTGTCTTTCTCTCAGGTCTCCTACTTTTTTCTGGACAGTTTTCCTTTGTCTACCAGCTTTCTTCAGATCCTTCATAACTTGGGCTTGTACGTGGCTTTCTGGTTGGTCTCTGTTTGCAACATACTTTGCTTGCTGTCCCCTGTTCTTTTCTTGTGGTGGAGACGGGCAGGACTGAACCATACCAGAATTCCCATGGTCTCTGGATTCCGACTGGGTGTGACTAATGAGTGGGCCACTAGAGCAAGGGGAAAGTGAGCGATGAGGATACTGCCTGCACTCTGCTTCTCTCCTGCACTCTGCTTCTCTCCACCACTTTGCCTCTCTGGCAGTCTCTGTATCCCTCCGAGGCTACAGCTCCTGCTGAGGAGCGCTCTCGCACATTACTCGGTCTCGCTGAGCTCCAGTAACACTATTTCTGCCCCCTGCTCCTTCATGCCCAGGTAGTAATGGCTTCCTGCTGCTGCTACTTTCTGGATGGCTTTACCATCCTTTGCATGTTCTCTTAACCCTGTTTACATTCCTGCAAACAGTCTTGGTTAAAGTCTCTTTCTTTGAACCATCTGTATCTTCTGTTTCCTGCTGGGACTTTAAGACATAGTGGCCCTCAATGGGATTCATGTTCTTCAGTTCCTGAGGACCTTTCCATCTTAATTCTCACTGCTCGCTGGTGCCATTTCTCCAAGATTTCCATTTCAGACTCCAGATATTGAGACTTTGTTTTGCCTCATTTGTTCTTCTTATTACTGGGTTGGTTGGAGCTCATGGGAAAGCCATGGATGGTCTATACCTGGGTAAGGTGCCCATTCTTGATCCAGTCGGTGGTTGGAGGAGGAATCCTTTCACATAGAACAGGGGCTGTGGCTGTGTGGTTTCCCTTAAAGGGGGATGCAGGCTGGTAGGGACCAACTGATTTCAATCTACTACTTTGATTCTACCTTCCCAACATTCGTGTAATTTAACCCTGACTTGGACTTCTGCCTTTGGTAAAGAAAATGATATATGGTGAATTTTTATTTAACTTTAATAAAAGTTAAGAATTATTTTCTAGAACCAAAGGGCTATATCCTTTCTCCTCTATTTCCAACTCTATGCTCCATTTCCCCTTTTCTAGCTTATTTTTCTTTTATTTCTTGTCTCCATAAAACAGTGTCATGTTTTCCTGAGAAGTAATTTATGCTGTGAGTTGGGGGCTGAGGAAAGGAACCATTCTGATTTTCTTTTGCCAATCACCTTTTTTTTCAATCCTTTTTCAATCACCTGTGAAGCTTGGTGTCCACAGAGTACCAATTCTCACCAAAACAGAACTTTACCATTGTTATTATAGCATAGGAATCACAATGAAGAATTCTGATATGAGAAATTTATGACAATCTGTATTACACATTATATCATATATCACTATTTTATTTAATTAAAATTTACTTTTTAAGAAAACCTCATCTTTTGCTTCTCATGCTGAGAAGAATATTAGGAAAATAAAAATGAACACAGAGTCCATTTTTAAGCCTCTGTATTTCTTGCATTCCTCAGTTCATAGATAATACATGAACAAAAAAGAGACTGTGCTCAGAATTTCAGAAATACTGTTCTGATTTTGTTTAGAATAGCCAGGAGATGACCTCCTTTGAAAGAAGATTCTAAAGAATTGTTGGATACATAACACTTTTATGTTTATCTCATCGTGTAAGCGTGAAGCAGTTTTAGGGGCTTACATATTCATAGATAGTCATGCCTCATATGTTCACTTCAGTCAGAGGCTGAGTGCCTACGTTTTTTATCTTTTACATGCCAAATCATTCTTGAATCTGGCCTAACACAGATGTCACAAGATGTATTGCTCATATGTTAATACAACATAGGATAGCAGAGAAATATCCCCAAGCATGACCTTCTGTGGTTCCTTTACAAGAGCAGTTCTTTTATCAACACATGTGTGTTAGTCTGTTTTGTGATGCTATAATAGAATACCCGAGGCTGGCTAATTTATAAAGAAAAGAGATTTATTTGGCTCACAAGAAGCATGGCACCAGCATCTGCTTGACTTCAGGTGAGGGCCAGATGTGGTGGAGGTCAAAACATAGTGGAGAAGGTCACAGGGAAAGCGGTCACTTGTGAAGAGAGGACAAAACAGGAGGAGGAGCCTCACGTTATTACAGCTCGCTTTCATGGGAACTAATCCATTCCTAAGAGAACTACTCCAGTCCTGACAGAGCAAAAACGAACTGCCTTGAGAATGGCACCAAGCCATTCATGAAGGATCTGCTCCCATGACCCAAACACCTCCCACTAATCCCCATCATCCTACATTGCCACACTGGGGCTGAAGTTTCCACGAATTTTGGTGGGGACAAACCACGTCTAAGCCATAGCAACATGACATATATTCACAATAGTTGTGATGTTATCAGATACTCACACACCAAGCTGATTCCTCATTTGAACATGAGTAGGGAAATTTATTTTAAAAACTATTTTTTAGTAATCTAGATAAGTCTGGTCCCAGACAAATAGTGTGACTAGAAGGGCAATGAGAAGCAGTCCTTGATTCATATATAAACATAGAGCTGGCAACCGGATCCATTTGCCATGGCAGCCAAAGTCTGGGTCTGGATGTGAAATAGGTGATGTTCTCATCCATCTTGCTATATGTAGGGATGGTGGGGGGTAGCATTTTTTTTTTTTTTTTTTTGAGAGGGAGTTTCGCTCTTGTTGCCCGGGCTCGAGTGCAATGGCTCAATCTCG